ATACAAATCTTATTTTTACAGATACAAATCTTATTTTTACAGATACAAATCTATTTTACACAGACACATTCCTATTTACAAATCCAAAAGTTACAAATCTTAATCTACAAAGTCAGATTTACAAGTACAAATTATATTAGACTAAAATTTGTGCCCATATAATTTGTGCCCATAGTAGTCGTTGGCAGGAAGTGAGGACTCCTTAGTGGAACCAAACACGGAAGTCAGAGCGCGCGCCTCTGACTTCCGTGTTTGGTTCCAGCTGCGTATCGGAACTGGGAAGTCCGACCCGGAAGCGTGCCGTGAAGGTAGTCAAGTCCTGGTCCTGGTCCTGTGGACGGACCATTCAGGCTGTCAAGTAACGGTAAGAGTTCCTCTTAGAACCGGATAAAAAGCGGAAGTTTGGTAAAAGAAGCTTTTTAAAGTCGTTTTTCAACAATGTGAAATAATTTATTTACTGAACCTGGTTGTGCAGCAAAAAGTTGTGAAACAGACTGCTGTTATTTTAAACATTTAGTCTAATTAAATGTGTAGAAAAGCTTCTTTCACCTCATGTTTCAGGCAGCAGCTGCTCTACTAAAAGTCAGAAAACGTCCTGTTTTACAGACTTCCTGTTAGAGCACCTGTTTCTGATAATAAGCTTTTATTAAAAGAACACAGGGCAGGTTTGAGACAGAAAAACTACATGAATTGTTATATTTATAATTGCTATGGAAAGCAGAGATTGACACTAATGTTGTCTGGATTAGTGATGAAATAAGGAAGTTATGATGACTTTAGTCTGGAAAAAATACACTAATTTTCCACTGGTTTAACATTAAAAACTTGTGATGATTCTTGAACAAACTACAAATCAACAAAATGTCTTTATCTCTTCAGATAACCTGATTACATTTCCTGGAGAAGTAGGAAATGGCATGCTTTTATTGACTTTCTACACTATATTTATTATCATTTAATGTATTAATTAATTAATCACTAAAATTGTATGATTTAAAACCATCATGCAAATTGAAATAGGCACTAATGGTAAAGCTGTATTTTAAAAATGAGATAAATTGAGGATCAAAGAAAAAAAGTGTTTATCATCTGCCATAACATCTTCATGTTCAACTCTAAAAAACACGTTCTTGTCAGATTGTTTTGAAAGTCAGTTAGTATTTAGATTAAATATTATATTATAGTACCGTCTAGCTTTAATTTAGTGCGGTGAGCCTGAATGTGCTTTTTACACTTGGTGAACTAGATTTGACATTTTTATCACCCATGAGAAGAAACGTCAGCATCTATCCATTCAGAAACATGATGAAAGAGTAACTTTACAAGTCTAAAACATCTAAACTAAAACATATTACTAAAAACATCAGGGTTTGATGAAACACAATAATTGGAGGGGAGTCTGAAAATGTCACACTGCACACAAACACCTGCAGAACCATCATGTCGGCTGTAAGCTGGGTTTGTTACACACACATGTGATAAAGCTCATGTCGATGAGATGCAGTGTTGTATAAAGTACCACAAAGTGATACTTCAGTAAAAGTACAAGTATCTTACCAAAAACTTACTTTGGTAAAAGTTAAAGTCTCCTTTAGGAATATTACTTGAGTAAAAGCCTTAAAGTATCTGATATTTTTTGTACTTAAGTATTAAAAGTAAAAGCATTGATTTAAAATGAGCAGTTAGATTTTCTGTAAGGACATTTATTAGGTGACCTCCTCAAAAAATGCAGAAATA